GGGCAGTGCCGTGGTGGGAGTATTTATGTGGCTGCCTGCCGTGTTCATTTGTAGCCGATGACCAAGTAGTGTGGAGGGTCCCCTTGAGCCTGGTAAGTGTACAGAGAGGAAGGAATCCATTCTTTAGGTTAAAATGTTTAAATTGAATCAAGGAAATGGAGAATCAAATTTCACTCTCCCATTGCTTGTAATAGAAAAATCCATGCACATTGACAGTTTTCCCCAGTCGAGTATCCTTTTTTGTGTCCCCTTTTTTTACGTCTGCTGAGTAGATTGAGATGGGTACCAGTGGTTTGAAAATTGAAAACCTTCAGTTTTCACGTAAATTACAGGTCAAATCTGTGTAGTATACCACTGCCCTTTACACTAAATCACATGTAAAACTAAGTTATGCCCCATTTAAATGACAAAAGAATTCTTGGACTACATGGTAGCTCTTTCCAGTAGTAGCTGAATAAAAGAAAAACTAATAAATAATTAAGGCGGTAATATGTTTGACCACTATTTTTTTAGTATGACTTTTTTCTGTTATTATTGTAACAGAAATGCTCCTTTCAAAGACAACTAAAGCGCTAATGATAGCTAAGAAGGTCATTCCTAGGAGGTTAAACTGGTTTAATTAGAATTTATGAGAAGGCTACTATAAGAGTGCAGAAAGATGTTAAGGGGTTAACCTATAAGAGATTACATTGTAGTCAGTGTTCTGTTAAAGTTTGAATTAATTTTTCCCATGGGTTTTTCACATTCTAATTTTCAACTAAATGAGACATCTGTTTCAGAAAAGGAAAATTTGCTATGGTTGTCATAGCAACTATCATTCTGTAAGAAAATTATTCCAATGGTTACTTTAGAACAGAAAGATAGAAATTCAGTACATAAAGCAACATCCGATTGCTAGCACAAATTCTGATAATTCAGCCCTTTTTGTGTGGTAGATTATTTGACCTGCAAAACTTGTTCATATGTTTTTAGCATAAGGTTAATTGTGCTGTAAACAAATTCACTTCCAATATATTTTCCCCTTGGAGACTTATATGTAGACAATCATTATTCTTATCATAATAATAATACCGTTGAATTTCAGCAGTATGTGGAGAGACTCAAACTGTTCGCTTTAAGGAGATAAGACCTAAATCAAAGTACATTTCTACACATGAGCGCTTCACTTCAGAGGTGAAATACATTAATGATGTGTGGTTTTAATTGCCAAATACATTTTTCTTGTTTTGTTTTTTTTTTTTCCAAAACCAGTGGATTTTTGTCTTATAGAACATACATAACAGTATTTTCTTTGTAAAACGTAAAATATTACTGAAAAATAATGTATAAAAAACCTACACTTTTCCTGAACAAGCAGTAACTGGGGATCCAGAGATTCTGTGCCTGATTTGAAGACTTTAACTTTGCTTTCAGGTTTCATCGTAAATGGAAATTTTAAACAAAGTTGTCTTTGCACATATCCAGGTCACAGAACTCGTTAGTGGGTATTAGAGAAGATTTTTTTTTTCCCTACTCAGAAACTTTGATGGCTGTTTTGCAATAAATTCTCAGAAGAAGGGACTTGGGGATTTATAAAATCCCTGTGTGCGTATAAAGATGGTTTTGCTTTGGGGGTGGGGGCACTGAAGTGTGTGATTTATCTTTCTTCTCTCAGATATAAAGCACACCAACATCCTCCGCTGAATCTTGGACTTCAGATTTTTTTTTTTTTTTTCCCCAGAAATATTCCAGACATTTCTTTCGATCTCGGGATTGTCACAAAAGACAGCATGATGGCAAATCACACAAGTTGCAACATCTCCCCTTCACAAAAGAACAGCTCCAGCATGCATAACTTACCAGCCCTGCGCTCAGGCGGCTACGCGCTGCAGTCACCACAAAGCAAGGGAGGGAGGGAGGGACGGGGAAAAGTGCTTCTTGTCTTAATAAGCGGATCATGCCTATTCATAAGGGGAAAGGGGCTTTTTAGAAAGTGGCTGTGTACAGGCTAGCCCTGCTAGAGGCAGGCAGAGGCTCTCACAGCTGCATATGCAGTTTGTGGGCATTCGGGTTTCAGGAGGATTAAGCTGACTTCTGGCGAGACCTGTGACAGTTACGATTATTTCTCTTTATAAATGCTTCATTGTGTCCTTAAAATAATTATTCCATAGGTTTTTGACTTTTCCTTCTTGAGCAAATATTGATCTTTCCCCTCGGTTTCTCTCTTGGGGCGCAAAGTGGCCACGGCCCATTCTGCGTACCTGTGGGGTGCAGTACGGTGCTTCACCTTGCTTCCCACCAAGGACCTGGGGATGATCCTGTCCATGCCCAGCAGCACCAGAGTGAGCAACGGCTGGGAGCAGGGGCCTGTGTTCACTGAAACTGTCAGTGGCTTTAAAAGCATTATTTACTATGCTGACACTTCGTTTGCCTCCTATTTGCCTTTGCAGGTATTTTCTGTCGGTGAGATTTTGCTCCTGGAAAACTTGCTCTGGGCCTAAAGACAATTTGCAAAACAGTTGAACGTCTTCATCTTGGTGAAGAAAAATACTTGGCACATAAGGTGTGGAACGCGATCCTAAGGCAGGAGCGGATGGACAGTTTAGAAAAAGCCTAACCTCTGTTTATTTTTATAAAGTTTCCCACTTCTGTTATATCCGAGCACCTCGCAGACTTCAGTTTATTTCTTTTCAGGACATTCCTGAGAATTAAAAATACTCCCATTCTGTCAATGGTGAGCTGAACGTAAGGGCAGGCTGATCAAGCTCTGCGGGCTGGGGTTTGTTTCTGTGTGACAGTATTACATGGTAATGTTGCTGGTAGCTTCCTGCAGAATAAGCCAGTAACCAGAATCATAGAATCATTTAGGTTGTAAAAGATTTTTAAAGATCATCGAGTCCAACCATAAACCTGGCACTGCCATTTCTACCACTAAACCATGTCCCCAAGTGCCACATCTACACGTTTGTTAAATATCTCCAGGGATGGTGACTCAACCACTTCCCTGGGTAGCCCGTTTCCTTTTGGTGAAGAAATTTTTCCTAATATCCAATCTAAACCTCCCCTGGCACAACTTGAGGCCATTTCTTCTCATACTATCACTTGTTACTTGGGAAAAGAGACTGGTAGCCATCTCAGTACGACGTCCTTTCAGGTAGCCGCAGAGAGCAATAAGGTCTCCCCTCAGCCTCCCAACTAGACCATGAGTTACCACCCCAGCAGCAGGCAGCTGAGTGGTCATGTACCTGTGAGCCAAGTGCTCTTCTTCCTATGAGGAAAGGTTGCTAGGAGTTGAACAAGTAACTAGGAAAGTGGGATTTCATATCCCTCAGTAGGGATATGTCTTTCACTTAGCCAGCCGCCTTGGTCTGACCAGCCTGACTCAGAACAAGGTTTCTACTTCATTGCTACTGCTATTAGCATCTCTTCTTCACACACCTACTTCACCTCCCTTATCACCGCTTCTGGAGGCTGGGATATATTTCTGGTCCCAATGGCAGATGTAAAAAATTTCACTTTTTCTTTTTTTCCTGGGACACCTGTTTATCCAGACCCTGATTATCCAGGGTGTGTGATGAAGAGCTAGGAGATGAACTCTTAGCTGTGGGCACAGAAAACCTTTCAGTCATCTATCTAGAATAGTTGAGGCTCTTTTTTTTTTTTTTTTTCTGGAAGAAAGGCAGGAAACCTTCTGCAAAGCCTCCTTCCTTTCCTTTTACCAGAATTGTATTTTCTTCCCTTGGGTAAGCCACATCCCTTTACATTTTAGCAAGCTCTGTATTTTTAAAGCTGTTTTCAATAGGCATGTGCTTTACAGCATTCCGAAAGGAAAAGTGGAAAATATATCATCATGAAGACATGCTAATTTTTGAAATGTTAGTCAAGCATCAGTAATGGAAGAGGATGAATAATAGCTTTATGGGCATTTTCTTTTGTCTATCCCATACATGATGTAAAGTGGAGTTCAGAGAATTTGTTTGAAAGAATTCTTTCTGTCTTTTGATGCGGTGAGGGAGTGTAAAGCTTTCTTCAACAAAGTAACATCTCAAAGGGAACTCTGGTTGATGTGTGTGTATTTATAAACACTAAGGCTGCAATTATCATAAACCTTATTAAATCACAGCAGCTTGTTTGCTGTTCTCCAAATATGGATATGGCTAGAAGACGTCAGTCAAAAAATTATAAAAAAATGCCAACCTAAAACTAACCCCTCAATTTTATGATCTAGAATTAGAGCATAGTCAGCAAGACATAATTTACTGCTGTGATATAATTGCTGTGAAATACAGTTTTTTAATCAATAGGATAGCAAGATATGGATAAATTGTGTTCTGACTGGCAGTGTTACAGTCCCACTGCTCCATGGTGAGCTGCTCCATAAATACGTTTTTAAAAATGTAAATGCCTGTCTGATAAGAAATCCTGAATATGGATAGTCTTACTTAAAAGCAAGTCAACACGGCAGAAGACAGAAGAAAATTGTGTGTAAGAAGAGAAGCGGTATTCTTGTTCTCATGTGATGCTTCCAATTAGGGAAACAAAGCAGCATAGATGGTGTGTTCGACTTTGGAGCAGGATCTGTCATTGTGCCAGGGTCTGTCCTTCCCCAGCTGGTCATAGGCTAAGGGCCAAACGTGGTGGGAGCCAATGTGAAACATATATCCACACCTAGGTATCTGAGACAGGTGTTCTTCTAGATGTTGTGGGAGTCCAGCATGCTAATCCATACATGGAAATCTTGGTATCCGGGTCTTCTAAGAGTTACTTTTCACCTAGTTAGAGGAATACTGTGAATATTTTACTGTATGCTGTCTACTGAAAATGGTAAGGGCTGCATTGATTTGCCACACAGGTTAAGTAACACTGGTTGTATGGAAAGAGGGTTTTACTGTGCACACGAAGAAAATGAATGCTGTTTGTGTCTCCACGTTCCATGCTAGCAGGGAGACAACCTCCGTATTTTAATTAGATAACCACTACATGGAAGTAGCACTGAAGACATTCTCCTCCTCTTTTGGCAGGCAACCTTGGTTTTATGGCTGGGGCTTTAATCTTCCACGAGGCCAAGCACTATTAGAGAAATGGAACCTTATTCCAGATGGAATAGATATTCTTATAACACATGGACCACCTCTCGGTAAGAAAATACTAGTGCTCTTAGCTATATATTTCAGATGATTATACAGTAACTGATGGCTTTCCTTAGACAACAAGTGCAATCCTGACTTACAAAAGTCAAAAGTAACATCTGTACTGATTTCAGCAGAACCAGGACTTCAGCTCAGGTTTATGTTTCATGATTACCTATGCTCAATGGTGGGGAATTACATAATGGCTTAAAAAAGAAAGCCTTAGCACAAAAAGCCTTACTGAGCTTTGTAAATAAGCAAGGTCTAGTTTTCCTGTGCATCTGTCCACTCTGCCACTGGTGAAATTAGTAGATTTAAAGCATGGAGCGTGCTTGAAGAGAAATGAAGGATTGGGATCTTATGTTTTTTAGCACTGTCTTTCTCCCTCATTTGCAGTAGCATTCCACCATCAACAAATACCCAGAGTCTGTATTTTCCCTCGTCATGCTGACTTGGTGCATCTTCTGCCTCACAAACCCTAATGCTGCCATTGTTTGCCTGTTCTTTGGACAGCGTGGGTGAATTGCCTATCTGTAATACAATCTGGCAGCACTAACAGACCAACAAGAAATAGTTTTGCATTTGTGTTTTACAGATATTAATACAGGTGATGTAAAAGCCAGGAGAGATTTCCTCTATTCCTAGATAATAGTGAAATTATCTGTGTTATGGAAATAATACAATCACAGAAACTTGTCCAGATACAGTAAAGGCTTAAGGCTCTTAACATGTTTTTCAATGTATTTAACATATAGCAAGCTCTATGTAATGAAACTGTGTGTTTAACTCTCATGGACATGAGCATGAAGCATGGACTTAAGTGTTCTGCTGAGCCTTACTGTGGAGGAGTGCTTTGTGTGAAATGAAGGCAGTTGATTTCTTTAAACCTTTAGATTTCCCCAGTTTCCTGAAGCTAAAACCCTCTTGTCTTCCACCCTTTCTTATCTTCTTTCAGAGCTTGGAGGAGAAAGTATCTAAAGGGTTTGTGTTTTGTTGTTTTCTTTAGAAAGACATGTTTGCATTCCAGTGCTCACTAATCCTGGGGGAAAGGGCTTCTTTGTGAGCATGGTCTCTCACAGTAAGGGCGTGTGTTTTGATACTTCACCTAAGTGGAGTCTCATGCCATGCCATAGTCTGATTTTAATATGGACCTGTATCGTAAAAGTGGGTGGCAGAAATTAATTGCTTAGACCTTGAGATTCAGCTCCAAATGGTCGGTACTGGGCATAATCCCTGTTAGGATCCAAAGAATGACGGTGGGTCTTTGATATAGTTTTATTTATAAGTCGTATTTTAAACTTTTTCAGAAGTTTTTTCAGCCATTTAAAAATGGCTTTTAAAGCCATTTTTAAAACCAGCTGATTGGCTGTAAAAAAAAATCCAACCTTCAGCTGATCCAAAGCGTATCCCTGTATCTAGCACTTGAAATCCAGTGTTGGAAAGTGGAGAGAGGGGTTTGCACCACCGAGCTTCAGCCACCTTGCTAATTTAGCCACCAGGCCTCTCCAGGCAGCCCCTGGGATCAGCAGAGGGAGGAGAACCTCTAGAGAGCACTGCAGAGCTGGCACTCAACAGACATGCTTTAATAATAATTCAATAGTAAATTTAATAATTGAAAAGTAATTCAATAATTGTAGTAATTCTGAGGAAGAGATGCCCATCTCCATTGACTGTAATGGAATAAGATTAATTCCCCCCATCTCCATGTCTCAGTATTTGTTCTCTTTTTTTTTTTAATTCTTAAGCTTCAATCATCCTCCAAGGATTTTCTTTTTTAAAAGTTCCCGTATCCTTGTCTTTTTCTTATTGGTACGTTAATAGACGGCTCAGGCACAGAACCCTCTGCCTGAGGGCATCAGCTGTTGGTCTCCCTGACACCCATGGCAACAAATACACACTGCTTCAAAAGAAATTAGCAGTCCGCCCAACTTACAGAACGTCCTTATTGTGTAGCTCTGTCCACAGACCTTTTGGGAGACAGGATCCTCCTTGACCCTCCCAGCCAATTATTTTAACCAAAAAGCTGATTACTGTTGTTCTGATCTTGGACAGCATCACTAGAGCTGTTCCTAATGATCATAAATAGCAATCAGTGCTCTTGCAAATTCCTCTTTTTTTCTCCAGCATAGCTGCCTGAATTCTGTCCATCATCCATTTGCTGTGCTGCTTTCTCATTCCCTCACTTCAAAAGAGCGCTCATCCTCCTAAACTAATTAATACTGCGTTATTAGGTGGATTTAAAATTGCCTGCATGATTTAGATGCAGAAGCACCATTAAGAGTTAATGGACTTTGTGTTTCTAAGTCAGGCGTGTAACAAAAAACTGAGTAATTTTTCTTGTTTTTTTTTTAGAGTAGTGCTTTGGGATGAAACCAGGGCAGGGATACACAGGAGGTTCACACAGGATGAGAAAACAAAGATTAAAGCAGCTGTTATTGACTATTTTATTAGTAACCAGTTTATTGTTAATAAAGATATGCCATATATTTCCTAGCTTCTGAAATGCAGTATTCATGATTACGGGATCAGTGCTAATGCTCATTTCTGTATCAGGGTATTTGTCTTACTTTTATGTACAGTCTAACATTTTAAGTTTTCTCTGATTCCTAAAGATCTGCATTTATGATTCTTCTGTTTCTCTTCAAAAATTTCACTTTTCTTTGTTTGTTTTTAATTTAATTTCACCTTTAGGTCTTCATTTGTAGCTGTCTGCTTGATTGTCTATGACAAAGATTTATACTTTCCTGACAGCTGCAGAAACCTGTTTCAAGTAACCAAACATTAAAAAACCCCTAAGATGAACTCTAATTGTTAGCTAGGTGTAATCAATTATTCTTAGTTTGTGTAGTCAGGTGTACATAATAAGCTGCAAACATATGGGAAAGCTTCAGAAGGGTGATAATGCATGTAAACAAAAACATGTTCAACATAAATAATGCTTAATTTAATGGAGAAGTTAATTTTATGGATTTTTGTTTGTGAAGTTTTTGAAGTGGAAATACTTTTGGCTTTATGTTCACTACAGACATTTTGACAATTAACTGTTTCAAATCACTGAAATAACAAAACCTATTGGTTAGAACACATTTGCTCTGAAAAAAAAACGTGACTGGGTTCCAGAGGAGTTGCTGGCCTCACTTTGACATCTTAAATACTTACTATTTCCTACAGTGAATTTTGACCAGTGCTGGGTACCAAGACTGACTGTTAAAATCGATTACCAGAACTGAACATTGCTCTGCTCTGTCTGTAATTCAGTGGGGCTTTCCCTTTCTACAACCCCAACAGGAGCCAAGCAGTGTCTTCAGAGGCGTCTGAAAGAATTAGGAGTCTATGGCCATTATCAGAACTTCCCCTTTTTGACACTTAGGTTGCCGCACTCCCAGCTCATTTCTGAAAATTGGACTTAGCTCTCTGAGTAACTGTGATACAAGGGCAAATTCTTACCGTTTTCATAAAACCCCAAGTATACTGAGCCCAGTTTTCAAGGACTGGCATCTAAAGAGGTATTTCTCAATGTATGAACCTACCCTGAAGCCTTAGCAAATCAGAGAGCTTTTCCAAGAGCTTGAATACCACAGTTCTGGTCTTTTAAGCCAGTTGGTTAGCTGCTATTTAACCATGGTTGAGTGGACATCAAAAGTAAACATACGAAAACTAGGTCTGGACTCTATACCTCTCTGACTGACTACTGTTTTCTCAAAAGCACAATATGTTCACGCTGCTGCAGCGATTTAAGAGATACGAAGCTATGACAGGCACACAGGAAAAGTACCAGAACAACTAAAGAAAAACAGAATGATTGTGTCTTTTAAGTTTCCAAATTTGAGCCTGATGAAAATGGCAGAACAATAGAAAGATAACAAGATTGGCTATTGCAAACCCTCTAATGCAACAACATCCTTCTTGCACTACTACTTTGAAGGAAACATGAGACTTCAGTTGGCAGTAAGAATCCCCCTGCAGTATGTTTTTAGACACATAAGGAAGTCTATGTACATTTTTGTCTGTATTCATAAAAAATGCATTTTTATACAAACTTCCTGCAAGTAAATATAGCACTTAAAAACATCTACTGCAGAAGGGCTGAGTTTTTCCTCCTACTGAGGTCCATAGATTTAGGCTAGTGGGGCTTGATGTGTTGTGAAGTGCTTAAACCAGTTTTACCTGAGGATGTTGTTTTGAGGCATGCTGTGGGTTCCTCACCCGAGTTCCACTATGGTAAGATTCAATGTGGTAACAATATAGTTTTATAATTAGCAACACAGATTCCATTACATTTCAATTTAAAAAAACTAGATCCCAGGACTAGATTTAAATAGAGAAATGTTGATTTAGATTCTCTAGAGACTCACTTCGGACACTCACTTTATGCTTCACTCTCTTAAATGAAGAAGAATGGATAAACCATTGAGTTTTCCCATTAACAGCAGCGCAAAAATGCTTTAATTGCAGCGTTGTTTTTTTTTCCTTGAAAAATAACCAGCAAGAGTTATTGTAGTCCTTTTTATTTGGATGAGCTTTTGTGGTTTTCCTCAAGTATTTTTCCTTCCTTCCTTCCTCTTCTACTTACCAAGGCAAACACTGTTTTTTCCATGTCAAGTCTTCTATGGCTGCTTGTGAAAAGCCATGAGACGTGAAATCTCAGAAACGCTATATTGCGGTACAGCTGTACAGCTTTGCAGATAACCTGACTTCTTTTAAAGCTTTCCTTTCTTTTCCAAAGGTTTTCTAGACTGGGTTCCTAAAAAAATGCAGCGGGTAGGATGTGTGGAGCTGCTGAACACAGTCCAGAGACGAATACAGCCAAGGCTTCATGTTTTTGGACATATCCATGAAGGTCAGAACACATTTCTTTCTGTATATATTTAGAAACCACAACCGCAGAAGTTGTCTGGTTTAACTAGCATTTTCAAACTTGAATGTATGAACTGAAGCACTTTGGGAATTCAAATACTTACTTAGATGCATATATAGAGATGAAATTGGCTGATACCCATATTTTAGTATTTGTACTTCAGCTTCTCTTTCAGTTTCTACATCTCTAAAACAGGGTGATGCCTCCTTCACGGAGAGTACTACTGTGAATTTTAAAATAAGAACACGAGTCCAGTAGTTACAGAAAGTGACTAAATATTAGGATTGATGGGTTGTATTTTCCTCTGCTGAATCCCTGTGACTTACAGTAATTCATGTAAGCTCTCTGTTTCTTGGTTTCTGTGTTTGTAAAATGGGCAAGGATGCTTTGAAGAGTGCTTCTAAGGCTTAATCTTCAAGATTGTGCAATAAAGGTTGTCTCTCCCCATCAGTGTGCATATGAAGTTGAAATCAAGAGGAATGTCACCACTGACTTGTGCAGAAGTTCAAGCTATTTATTCATGTATTTATTTGCTTTGGCAGGGGAAACGTTTTGTACACAGACCAAACAAAGCGGTTCTCTTGACTATTTGATTTTTGACTGGAAAAAAATGAATTCCCTTCACATAAGTCAGTAAATGGTGACAAATATGCTCCACTGAAGTCAGCAGGAGCAGGAGTTCATCTCCAGGCGAAGGGAAAGGTAGATGCTGTCTGCTATACAGAAGTCTGTCCTGTTCACATATCATGGCAGCAAGACTTGAAGCAGTGGTCCCCACCAAAAGAAGCCACTGGGCTGTGCAGAATTGTACCCATTGGAATGTGAGCATGTATTAGCAGCCGCTTAGTTCTTAGCAGTGTTAACTTACTGGCAGGAAAAGGTGCTCCACATCTGCCAGTTTTCTGCTTCTGGGACTGCTCCAGCCTTTGATGTAGGATCTCTGTGGGTCTCACCAGTGTAGGAATGAACAAATGGAAAAACTGGAGTAGTTGGCATTCAGATACTTTCTGGTTTTGTGAAGAACCGTTACCTTTCCCAAGAAATCCCGCTCTGACTTGCTGCTGGGCAACATAGCTTTCACCATGCTAAGTTCAAAGGGACATTGCTGAGAGGTGTGCCAGTGTAAAATGGATGGACATTCAGATCATTATGTTACAGCTCAGGGATTAAGTCTGTTCTCCTTATGTGTCTCATCTACGGTGACCTGTTAATGCATAGTTAATGTCCAAAGTGCTGTTAAATCACAGAATAAACAATCAGTGCATAGGCAGTGTTTTTTCCTTAGCCTTTGCTGTTAGAGGAGTCTTTGAGATTCCATACAAGAGAGCTGGTGAATACAGTTCAAACTCATTGTCTTTTCAGAAATAATAAGCCAGGTGGGTTGCAGGGGATATAAGCAAACAGTTAGCAAGCCATGAAGCTTCAGGCAGGTAAACAAAATCACATCTGCTAAGAACCAAGCCCAACTTTGGCTCCCAAGGGAAACAAATGGCACCTCCACAGAATGGTAAATCTTGTGAATTAATACAGTTGGCACAGTAGGTATCAGAACACAGAAACAAGCTACTCTTCTTGTTAACTATCATAATTTAGAGAAAACAAATGGGGAACTGCATAGCCTGTTTTGCAGTGGGATGCTAAATCTCTGCAGAGGAGAATTCCCATTGCAGACAGCCTGTGCAAACGAAGCTGCTCTTTGTAGAGAGAATGCATGATTTGAACAGATGAGTTCTTCCCCTGACTGAGCATAGCTACATCTGCAGCAGTCATTTACTGGATATCCAGGAGGAAGAGATGCTTAGAAGAGGTGTTTCTTCCCTATTCCCCCTCTGCACTGCTGTCTCTGCCAAAAAACAGCTGTACACATGGGCTTGCTGCTGATCGACCCATGGAAGTGACAAACAGCGTGGCAGGGACTCCGGCTAAAATCTTGGTTTGCTCGTTACAGCCAGTACTTGGCTGAGGTCATGGCCAAGGAGACTCTGTTGGCTGTAGGGTAGGAGTGAAAACTGTAGCGTTAGGAATGTTCCAGCAAAAAGAGCATGTTAGGAAGCTGATTCTGTTCTCTCCAAACGTGTCGTCGATGAGACAGAAAGTCCCAGCAGCAATGCTGACTGTCCTCCGTGCAGTTTGTGTTTTACACAGAACAATTGTTCTGTGGCAAACAGCAAATGATTTAAAGAAATGTCTGTGACAGGAACCTGACAGAGTTTTCTTCCCTCCCTAGTCCCTAATTATAGTGTGATTTTTCCATGGGGAGTCCAGGAGGCACTGCATTATTCAGGGTAATTTAAGGAACAAAAAAGAAATGAATTTGGCTACTGTTTCTTTGTTTGTAAATTATGCAACTATCGATGCTTCTATAAGACATGAAATTGCACTCAGAAAAACTGTAGGATCCTCGGTACCCAGGATTTGAATAGCGGGGACTCAGTGTATGTAGCCATAAATACATTTCACTATTAACTTCATTAATGGTGAGGTTGAATCTTAATACAAATGCTTTCTACCAGATTTCCCAAAAATCATATATTTCTGATTGTGAATGCATTTCTTCATATTGATCCTAATATTTCAATGCAAGTTTCTGACATCAAGCTTTTACTGTAATTGAGCTTACCTTTTTTTCCTAGTCATTCATGAAAGGATTTTTGACGATGGAGAGTGTGTTTACTTTTTCATAACACCAGGGCAGTCAAAGGGCTGCTTCTTCACTTTCTGAAACAGCAGTTCACTGTATTTCTACAGGCATTAGAGCTGAAATTTTGATTTTATGGAGATTTAGCTCTGGAATTGTTTGGCTTGGATGTCTAGTCAGACAGGAGATGTAGCTACCGCTTTTTTGCCACTGGTGAGACATACAGAAGGGTGTTTTCTCCCATGGAAATGTTATAGTGTCTTTGGGTGTGAATTCACCTTGTCTGTCAGAGAATGCGTTAGTAAACCCATTTTTTCTCTGCCTGGCTAGGCGTTTTAGTGTCTTTCCATCAGATTTGGTGGAAATCGATCAACAAGTTCAAACACACAGGAAGAAGAGGCTCCTACTAGAAAATCCCGCGCAGGTGGACAAGCACACATACTCCCTTTAGTCAAGGAATGCTTTTTCTTCATTAGTTGCTTAAAAGATGCACAACACGGGATGGAAAAAAGGCTGGAAAGGTGAAAATTGCCTAAAATTCGCTGCACTGATGACTGCAAACCTAAACTATCAAAGTATGTTTTTTTTCCGATGCTGCAGTTGCCTAAGCTCTATTGTCTCATCCCCTCCAAAACTTAGAAGGTTTTAAGAAAAAAGCTTCACAGAGAAAAATATCTGTCTTTCTAGGGAGGCTTGGCGAGCTGGCTGCCAGAGATTATAGCCACTAGCTAGTGAGGGTCCATTTTACTTTTCTTACACAATTTAAAAGACGGCAAAATGTTCTGCTGTAGGACAGAGGTGGCATTAATTCAAGAGGCCTTTATGTTTTGCATGAAGAGTATTTTTAAATTCCTTCTGAGTAATAAATGTGGCACTTACTGTTGTGTGATAAAGGTGAATAATTAAAAAAACCAAAGAAGATAATAATGAATAATGAGAGTAACCAGAGTTTTTCTTTCTTCTAGGTTATGGTGTCATGGCTGATGGAACTACTACCTATGTGAATGCATCTGTGTGCACTGTGAATTACCAGCCACTTAATCCACCTATAGTTATTGACTTACCTACTCCAAGGAACACATGATTATAATGAGGATTTAAAGTTGTACCCAACACATTAGCAACTTTATATTGCTGGCTCAGAATCCCAATAGGGAACCTTTCAACAAAAAAGCAAAAATCTTCTTCTTTTTTCCCTGCTAGCTCTTCACAGATAAATTTTGAGTGACAAAAGTGGACGAGGAACAAAGACGTTTTGGTGCCAGAAACAGATTAAAGACTTTAACATTTCACCATTAAAATATTTGTGAACACAGAAAAGTGAATGCATTCCACATATATATATATATATATACATATACATATATATATAACTCAAGTAGGGACTTTTGTATATACCGTACATTATATTGGACTTATTAAAAGAACAATGTCTTTCGAAGGAGTAATTCTTTAAGAAAGTTTGCAGTTTAAACTTAAGTGTTTAGACTAGGATTTCCTCATTTCAGATGTTTCCCAGTGAGCTCTTGGTAAAAGAAAAATGATGGTGAAGATGTTTTCCCTTAATTAACATGGCAAATATAAAAGGCGGTGCACGAATGACCAGTCACAGGAGGAAAGCTATTACTTCAAGTCCTCCAGGTCTAAGTCTTTGCATCTATTCAAAACCAATGCAATAGAGGCCCTAATTCACTGTACTGAAATGAAGTTTTACTACATCTGGCATTACAGATGGTAAGGGAAATGGTGCATATTGCCGGCATGCTGTAAACAGCTCAACATTCAAGAAGGGAGACTGTGTTAAGTGCAGTATAAACTCAGGAATTTGTAACCTGGCCTCGCCTGTGAAAAAATGGATGACATTTCCCTTAAAAAAAAAAAAAAGAAAAAGAAAAAAAAAAGAAAAAATATAACTCTGTTTTCATATGGTAAGGCGATATGTGATTGTATGTAAAAAGCAAAAAAAAAACCCCACAAAAACCCCGCCCAAAGTTCAGTACTGGTATTTTAAATAAAACTCACTGGGACTATTTGTTTAAAACCTGTTAGTGGGACATGCAGCCAATGATGAGATTACTGGTTTGAGTCTGGCCCCAGTCAGATGTGATTAAATGTCATTGTGATCACTTTGTCCTTGGGGAACGTTACGGATGTCAAGGGGAAGGGTCATCCCAAGGTGGAGTTTGGGCATTCTCTTTCGGGTAGCTGTATAGTAGTGTAAGTGCGATGAGTAACAAGTGCACGCCAGTGGGTACAGAGCAGGGGTTGCCTCACAGGACCTGTCGTTGCTGTCCGCCTGCTCATGGACAGTGCTGAGAGAGGCCCAAGACAAAATTGTCAACCAAGTTGAAATCCATCTGTCGTGTTGCATGTGACGCCAGGCAAAGCGGGGGACGTGTCAGGAGCTGGTTGGGATGGCCAACTGCCGTGGTACTGCCCGTGCGGTTTTCCTGCAGGTTAAGAGAGGTGTTGAAGCTGCTGGGATTTCAGTCCCGTCCTAGGCAGAAGCTTGAGAACTGATTACAAACCCACCAAAAAAAAAAAGTGCTTCAAATATGCCCTACAAGAAATGGGTTTCTGCCTTGAACTAACTAACATCTCCATGCTCAAAAAGGAGCCTTTTTACCTTGATGGAGAAAATTTTAACTGCTGTATTCTGAACGTGGACAGCCTGAATCTGGGGCTGACGGCATCTAGACATTAATCTTGTTCACACACAGTGGACAGATCATCGCCCTACCAGTACAGGGTTGTTTGCAGGTCTGTGCATAGCCCACATCTGCACACAGGCATTGGGTAACTGTGTATGTTACTTTTTGCCTGATCTGTGGGTGTGAATGTGAGCTTCATACGTAGCAGCTGCATGTGCATCGTATACATACACAATTTAAAATAGCTGTGTCGCAAAACCACGCAGTGTCAGCCTCAACTCTAAGCAAGGTGGGCAGAAACATTGCATTTCACTGGCTTCCCGTGGGCAGCAGCTCTTCCAGCTGCTGCTGGGAGCAGTGACATTCAAGCCCAGTAACTAACTCATGCTGTGGACCCACCAGTAACCGCCAGACTGATAGAAAGCGTGACAAGTCACAGGTCTGTCATTTCTTGTGGGCTGTTGGGTGACATGGGGGCTAAACTAATGTGCTGCTTTTTCCTGAAACAAAACCCAAAACAATCGATGACACCTGCAGCTGGTTTTTGGGCGAATAGTTCACAAGCGCCTGAGCAGTCTGCCATGAATGCAGGTGGGGCCGCTTCTGTCAAAACTATTGGTGTAGAAATTGCAGGATCAGCTCCTAAATCAGCAAGGACTGAAATTCACAGTTGAATATGCACTCGTGCCATCATTGAGAAGATGAGCAATAGCGTGTAGTTAGAATAAAAGTGTCTTAGCTAGTCACAATTCAAGCGATTTGCAAAAAATATGGCAGGAAATTGGCTATATGTTAAAGTCTGAAATGTTTACATTTGCTCATGGCACTTAAGAGACTAAAATGTTAAAGTGAGGGGAAGAGGTCCTTTTATTAGCCTCAACAAAATTTCTATGTCAACCATAAACTATTCTCTTAAAAATAATTTTTCCTAAGGTATCTTCAAAATACTGTGTATTTTTATGTGGAAAGGATACGAAAGCAGCTGTTACTTCAAAATATCATTTAAAGTACTTGGGGTATGAAAGCTTAAAGATTATTTAATCATTTTGGCATAACTTGATTGTTGTTGTAATTTTTGGTCAAGCATGTTAGACAAATAAAGTAAAACAAACCAAAACAAAACGAAAAGTAAGACCTCTTTATATCCACCTCATGCATTCAGCTCCACATGGGAAAAGCTACCTGTCTTCTCCAGGTGTAGGAGCAAACCTGTGGGACTTGGAAGTTGTTACTGTGAAGGGTTATGGGTCAGCTGAGGGGGTCAGCTGGCAGAGGGGCTGGGGGCGATGGGCAGAAAGTGCCCTGCAACTGCCAGCTTCAGGCTGCCACATCTCCTGCAGAAGGTGATGTTGGAAACGGGGCTTGCAGAGAGGGGAAAGCAGCACCCGCTGTGTGTGACTGCTGGATTTTGGTGGGGGAATAGGCAGATCTGCTTGCGAGGCAGGGAAAAGCTGAGGTGAGGGAGTGCTGCGGTGGCGCTGTGAAGCAGTTGGGATGCTGCCTTTTGGGAATGGGTGACAGGTGGGGGAAGGATGGTTTGTGCTCCGAGTTGAGTGTAAGGATGATTCTACGACACGAACCTCAGAGAGAGTGACTAAGGGAAGGCGACTGTTGGTTTTGTTTTAACTTTGTAGGCACAGTCAAGGCCTGAAATCTGATCTACCTCAGATTAGGGAGGCCGTGAAAAGGGAACGTTTCCACCAACACAGTTTTGCAATTGTTGGCACTATTTAAATTCAGGGACGCTCCCTCAAGTCATTTCCCACTCCATCTCCCCATTGCTGACCTTCACTGATATTTATCCAGGTAGCATCGCTCCCGAAAGTGTGCTGATGTGTATCACTAACACGTGCGTTCCCATCACCAGGCAGAATTGTTACTGAGATTAATTTCAGTTCATTTCAGCGACGAATAGGGGAGATATCACTGCATGTCAATGAAAAAAAAAAGACAAGATATTTTTACCTCCCTCAGTCACATATGGCTGAGGATGTGAAATGTGCCTCGGCTACAAGGAACAAGCAAGCTGGGACTTGGCACCCGCCTGAGCAGCTGCCTTTTCCCAGGCAGCCCCCACCCGCCGGAGCTGCACCCTGGCCTGGGGAGCTGGGTTTAGGCTTTCAGATGATGCTATTTGGTAGCCCCTGAAGCCAGAGACTCCAAAACTATGATGTTTTTCAAGGATCTCACTGCAGGGAGCGAGGCTGGTGGCAGCAGCAGCATGCCAGGCTGGCCCTGCTGGGTGCTCCACTGGCAAGGTGGCTGCAGGGAAGGAAGGTAAAATCCCCATCTCTGGGTGATGCACAGGGATGGAGTGGGTGGGAAGGTGCTCTGGTCTTGCTGCAGAAGGGACCCAGATGGAATAAGAAGTAGTTTGCCTTCTCCAGGCACTGATTGTTGCCAATAGCCAATGTAAATGCTTCCGAGGAAGGAAGAACGAGACATTCCTGAGAAAGCAATTTTTGGAATAATCTGCCCATGGGGATCTTTGCTCCTCTCCCATTTATTCTTGTTTGTGTGAGAATTTCTCTCTTAAAAACCCATATTATTGCTCACTGCTAATCTAAGTTACATATAGTGAATGTAACAACAAATGTTCTTTTCTTTCAGGTACATTCCTGTCCCTTTCTTGCAAGTCTCCCTGCATCTGCGATTTTAGCGATATTTTGGAACAGTGAGCTCCCTGGGTGATTATGCACAGTGCATTAGAACAACAGTATTTCACTTATCCTTGTACATGTGCTGCCGTTCGGGTTTATTGACTGTCCCTTTGTTCTCTTTTTATGTGAAAACTGTAAATAGGAGTACTTGTATGTACCTTCTTTGTGCCATTCGTTATTTTGTATACTGCCATTATGTTGCTTTTTGCTCAGTTTGTCTAGAAATTAAAATAATTTCAATTCTAGCTAGGCTCTATTTCTAACACTCTTACTTTCCCATCTCGGAAGCGCTCCCTTTGTCTCTTTTTGATGTGTCCTTTGGGAGCTGGTGAGAGGCAGCAATGCCAGAAGAGGACCTCCTCTTCCTTCCTATCTGAGTATTTGGACACAGTTCCATGCTACTTTCTCTCCTGATCTTTATCCAATTCTGTTCTTCGTTTGTTTAGGATTTTGGGAGGGTCACAGTATATATTTGCAACCACCAGTGGAGGACTGTGGTGAGCTGCCCATGCCCCTAGCTGGGCTTTCTCTTTGAGAGATGACAGCTGAGCTGGACTTACCTAGTTTTCACAACCATCATCCCCTTCCTCCCAGGGAGCCCTACCCAGGCTGTGTCCATGGGGGGATCCTTTTTTCCCCACTCTGGCTCATTTCCCTGGCTTTGGTGGTGCCTGTGACAATTCTTGTCACCCCCAGTAGCGCTTTGCTGTCGGGGGCACCTCATCGGCCGTGTGTGGTGAGCAGCCCTGGGGCTGGGGGTGCTGCTGGGTGGGGTATGGAGCTGTATGACGTTTGCCCAGTCCTCATCCTGCTTTTGGGGTTTTTGTTTCTTGCCTAGTGACTAACCTGTGACCCTTCTTTGCCTCTCACAAATAGCTCTTTCACAAAGGTCTTTATCAAAACCTTTGCAAGTGTCCACACCAATTATATCAGAGATATCTCTTCTTGCCAGGACTTTGATGTTCCAAAAGCTTTCAAATAGATTAAAGGAACAGGCTTTTCTTTTCCACAAACCAGTCAGCTTTGTTTTCCGCCCCGGCCCCCTCCCAGTGAAGTGTGTTCCCCCTCTAGAGCATGATGGGCTAAACCCGAGCAGAATAATTAACCTCACTACCTGCTACCGGGCCAGCTCACAACATGCCCTCGCACTCGTGCTGTTTGCTCCGATTCAGCACAGTCTGGGCACGGTTAGTGAACAAATCCCTTCCCACCACTGGAGAAGAGGCTTTTCACTCGCTCAGAGTGAACTGGTAGTGCAGCTGCTTCTTCCCTGGCTTTGCCCAGGGAGCGCTGCTGCACGGTGAGGTTGTGCTGCCGGCTCGCAGCGAGCCTCGGGGAGAGGGGGACAGCCGTAGGGAGCAAAGACCCAGACAGGTTTGCCATTTTGCTTACTCTCGTTACATTTTTCTTCTAATGCTTTCCGGATGGGATGAGCAGCTTGAGGAGGGCCAGATGGGAAAGTGCTGGATGCTATAAACATGCTGCAATGGCTTATGGTTGCGTTAAACTTCACAATCAGGGTAAGGAAAATGCTCTGCCTCACCAGCTGAGCTACCCGGTACCCAGCAAAGGCTGGAGAGAGTCGAAGGTGACGCTGAAGCACCCTCCCACTGGCCCAGCCCAAACTGCCCCTTCCCCACTGC